GTGCTGCCGCACGCGCGAGCGAACTGCCTCTGCCGCGCAGCGACAGAAAAAAGGGGGAGGGGGGGCGGGGCTGGTTTGGCTTCTGCCGAGACCTCCTCCTATTCCTCCTCCTCCTCCTCCTCCTCCTCCTCCTCCTCCTCCACCTCCAACCTCCTCCTGCTCGATCCTCGATCCTCCTCCCTCCTTCTCCTCCACCTCCTCCTGCTCGATCCTCGATCCTCCTCCCCCCTCCCCCTCCTCCTCCCTCCCCCCTCTCCTCCTCCTCTCCTCCTCCTCCCTCGTCCTCCTCCTCCTCCTCCTCCTCCTCGGTCCTCGACCCTCGATGCCCCCTCGCTCTCCTCGAGGCCTCCCGAAGCACCCTTCCGCCCGAGGGGCCGCCCCTGCTCTCTTCGGGAGCGGCCAAGAAGGGGGCGTCCACGAGGGGGGGGCACGAATCATGGCCAGCGGCACGCGCGCGGCCCAGGGTGGGGGTGGCCAGGGACGCAATGGAACGAGAAGAGTCGCCATGAAATCTGGGGAACTATCATGGCCCACGCAATGATCTCCCCGCCCCCTCGTCATCACCCCCCGCTTGGCCGCCCCCGATCTCTGCCTCCGCCACCCTCCGCCGTGAACTTCTGCTGCCCTCCGCCGGGGGCAGGGCCGTCAAAACGCCTGCGGCCCTCGAGGGCGAGGCCCTGTCTGTCAAGGGGCCCAGCGACGTACAGATCCACAGGCGCTCAGGCACACCTCCCAGGGTGCCCCCGACTTTTTCCGAGCTATCTTCGGGGTTGTCGTCTTCCCCCTCCACACTTCCCCTATTTTCCCGACGTTCCGGGTTTTCGCCTCCCCCCCCCTCTGCCCCTGTTTTCCCAGATGTTCGGGGCTTTCGTCTTCCCTCCCCCACTTCCCGTGTGTTCCCATGTCTTCCTGGGAGTCGGCGATGACTTGTGTCTGTGTGCTTCTTTCCCTCCTGAGTCTTGAGCGCCCCAAGCGGAGGCCGCCCCGAGGCGGCCGAAGTAGACGGTTTTGCCAGATCGCGCCAGCAGCGGCGCGAAGCAGACGATGCCTCCGCGATGCATCGGCGTGGAGGGAGCCGGGGCCCCACCTCGCGCCGCATCGCCGACGCCTCGTGAGGCATCTTGAGGAGAACAGTTATCGCGCTGGGAGGAAAGGGGTTGGGAGGATGAAGGGCATATGAGCAATAACACTCGGATGCAATGTGCGATGCCTTCGAACGCCTACGGGCGATGGTATCCTCGCTTGTCCCAGCCCCATCCTCTCAACCAGATAGCTGTCTCCTGACATCTACTGTGGAAAAAAACAGCAGAAACAGATTTGTTTGGCGCTCCGCGCGGAGTTCTTGGATCTGCGCTGGACCCCCGACCCCCCTCCCTGGCGCGCGGAGCGCGCCAGGGGCGGCGCCTGAGGCGCCGCCAGGGGGTCCCAGCGCGGATCCAGGAAAACCGCGCGAGGCGCCAAAAGTCTATGCTTATGGCGTTTTGTCGTCTTCGTATACAGTGCGAGCGCGGCCGCAAGAAACCCTCGCAAGAAAACTCGCGCGCGAAGTGCACCAGAGGGGAAACTTGGAGCGCTCTGAACGCAGCAGCTCCTTCAACAGCCGCGGGAAGTCGCCGCGCAGCGCGCGAAGCGAAGAAACCCAGGACACCCTGACGAAAAGCAGATGGTTTCCTGATGCGCGCCCCCACCGTATACTTCCACCCCTGGACCGAGTGCGCCTGACGAGGCGACGAGCTCGGCCTCCCCTGGGCCCGAGGGATCGGAGCGCCGCCGCCGTCCGCCGAGCTGCCTCCAGGGACCGACCGCAACAGTGCTCAAAATGCGCGTAAAGCAAGAGCGAACAACACGACGGAAGCACAACGAAAAGCAGGACAACCAACAAAGCAAAGGCCAAGAAAACCTAACCAGACATCGTTGTGGCCGGTCCTTGTATTTCTCACGGGCTCGACGAAGGAAACAGTTCTGGGGTGAAGCAATGCTGCAGTCGATCCCCTGCTCGACTTCTGGAGCACCCTCCCCCAGGTCCGGCGCCGGTGGGCCCCGAGGGGCCTCCTTGGCCGAGGCCGCGGCCGTGGAAAATAGTCGAGCGCGCTCCACGACTCGCAAAACAGCTGCTCGCAATTGGCACGGATCCGCCATGAGGGATGCACGAGACAGGGTGCATACAGGCTCCTCCTCCTCCTCCTCTTCCTCCTCCTCTTCCTCCTCCTACTCCACGGTTGTTCTTTGCGAGCAGTGGAGAGAGCTCGGTGAGGCAAAGGCCGAGGCCGACGCAGGGGTTCGTGCTGCCGAGGGGCCGCACCACGAGCGACGGCCCCGGAGACAAAGCCCTCGGACCGACGGCAGCTGCACGAGAGTGGACTCCTCTTCAGCACGGGTGAAGGCACGTGCTGGCAGCACGCGTTCCCCACCGCCGCAGCCAGCTGCAGCAGAGGCCCGACAGAGGGCTGTGCTGGCAGCACACTGCGCTCTGTGCACCAGCGTTGGGTCCGGGAAAAAGTCATGCAGTCGGCCCGTATCCTAAGGATGTGCGATAAGGATGCAAGGGCCTTGGACGCCCATTTCGAAGCTTCTCGAGCGGGGCGCGGCCAACGAAAGTTGTCAAGGATGGACCGAGGAGGCAAGGAGGCAAGGGTACCCTTGGGGAGGCGCATATCCGTGGTGAATCTCACGGCTTGCTGCCTCGGGCCGTGCGGGCTAAACGCTGCCTCTGAGGAGAGGGCCCGGCCCCTCGCAGCTCCGCACGGGTGCAGCGAGATGACTTCAGACAGCTGCACGCTGCCCAGAAGGAGGAGGAGGAGGACGAGGAGGAGGAGGAGAAGGAGGAGGAGGAGGAGGAGGAGGAGGAGGATGTGGAGGAGGAGGAGGAGGAGGAGGAGGAGGAGGAGGAGGAGGAACACGACGGGTCGAGAAGGCTGCCCCCCCAACGGTCACCACCGTAGAGCGCCGCCCAACGCCAGCAGCACCACGGCAGCACCATAGCTCCTCTGCCACTCCGTACGGTACGTCTCGCGGGTGCAGTCGCGACAAAACTATATGGATCATCTTTGCCAGCACCGACCTCGACGCGCGGCTGATCACCGCCATCCAGAAATACGGCAACGCAGGCAGCATCGGCATATTGAATACCGACCGAGAGGACCTAGACCTGAGGCTCGGACAGACGATTCAGGGAAGGTGTGCTTGGTTTGTGGATCTCCCCGTCGCGTATAAGCCCTCCCCAACATAAGTACTCCAGAAATACTCCAGAAGTACTCGAGCCAAGTACTCCCAAAATGGTCCCGCCAATAGGGTCCCGCAGAAGCACAAGTAGGGCGACGGATACTCACCGCGAAGCGGTATCACATAAAAATGGTCGGGCGGAAGGTCGCATCGGAGTCGTTTTTTTTTTCGACGGGCCACTCGCAAGTGGCATCGAATATGCTGCCGTCGCTGGAACACGGACGAAGGAGATCAAGGCGATGATAATATAAATCGGGAAACGGACCAGGGCGAATATGACAGGGATAGTGGAGGAATAAAAACGCTGCTGCATAGGGTCGCACAAGGTCGAGACACCCCAGACAAAGATGAAGGAGCGAGGAGGGACCTGGATAATGATGATGATGACGATCCGCAGGAAGAGGGGGGGAGCAGCAGCGGCGGCGACGGAGGGAGGAGGAAGGGCAGTGGCAGCGGCGGCGGGAAGAGGAGGGGAGCTTCCCACAGAAGAGTCACCCCAGCTGCTTGTTCGCGGCGGGCCTGCGCGACCGACTCCAAGAAATGGTCGGTCGCAGAAGCGGGTCGCGCCAGAGCGCCGACTCCAGATTCCAGCACCCCCTCTCAGACTGAACTCGGAGCCAGCCTGATCTCCAGCGCGCGGGCAGCGAGAGACGAGGATCGACCACCCCAGTAGTTTCGGCCCAGCTGCGTGTTCACACACACTTTGAAGCCCCCCTGACACTGTTGCCATCGGCCCCCTGCCCCCATCCAAACGATCAACCTCGACTCTGGCCGAAACCCGCCGCGTCGACCCCGCCGCGCCATCAACGGGAGCACGGGGGCCCAACCCCAGGCCCATAGAAACGCGTCCAGCATCGCGCTGTCAAAGGCGCGGCACTGGCACCCCAGAGCACGCACGGAGCCGCGAGGCCCTTGCGCGACGCGCTGGGAGTCGGCGACCCAGCCGCTCCCACTACCCAACGGGTTGGGCGCCCGCCGCAGACCGCATGCCCGCTCCCGCCCTCCATCGCCCCACCGCGTATCCTCTTCATTACCGTCGTCCCTCCTCCTACCCCCCATCCCGCACCCCCACTCCCCCTGCGTCCCTGCCGCGCTCCTCCCCCCTTCCCCCGACGCCACCTCGCAGTCGGCCGACCCATCGCCGCCCGCTGCGCTCACCCCCGCTGCCTCATCACGGCGTTCCCTCCCTCCCACCCCTGGCCCCGCAAAATCCCACACCGACTCCGATCCTCCTCCGTCTCCCTCCCTGCGCCCTCTCGTCCTACTCCCCCCGCTACCCTCCTCGCCCTCGACCGCCCCCTAGCTATGACCTCGGGGACGGACGCGAGGGCGTGGGGAGGAGGATTAGGAAGAGCGGGGATGATGAGGAGGAGGGGCCCTCCTCCTCATCACCCCCGCTCTTCCTAATCCTATGGGGAGGGCGATGGAGGGCGAGGGGGATGAGCCCACTCCCCCCTCCCGTATCCACCCCCTCCACCATACCTCCTCCCCTGCCCCCCTGCCTCCGTCGGCCCAACAGCCAGCGGCGGCTCTGAAAAGAGTCGGCAGCGCGGCAGCGGGACGAGGCTGCGGGATGGACCAAGAAGAAGCCCAATGGGATAGCACGTCCAAGTCACCGCCCTCCCCCTCTGGCCACAGCACGCGCCCCTCCGAGCAGGGGGGCGCGGCAGGCGCGACCAGCGGGGATGGGGGGCTGACTTGAACGTGCATGCTGACCTCCTCTTGGCCAATCTCACTCGCCCGACGCGCGACCGCCCGAGCGGCGCACGGGCACTCCCCTACGCCGAGGTCCCCGCCTTGCGGACCCACTTCGCAGCCTCGTCCACGCGGGCCCTCAAGCCGATGAACACCTCCTCCCACCACCCAGCCTCCTGGAGCTGCTCGCGCTCGATGTTCAGCAGCCGCTTGAGCTTCATCGGGCGGTCCGCGAACTCCTTCAGCGACATCAGCATGATCGCCTCGGCCACGCGCACGCGCGTGCGCATGACAATCGTCTGGAAGGCGTTGGTTGTCTCCACGTCGTGCTTGCCGTAGAGCTTCGCGGCCCGGGCCCAGTCAGACTCCCTCGCCGATAGAGTCCCCGCGTAGTTCTTCACCGTCGTCGGCTGCACCATGTCCGCCAGGATCGTGTCCATGCCGTGGGCCACCAGCACCTCGAGCTTGATGTTCTCGCTGGTGTCCGCGATGCCGTCAGTCCAGAGCTCGCTGCGCTTCGCCCCGAACTGCAGCCTCTCGATCGGGACCTCGGCCCCCTCCATCTTCTGGCGCCTGGCGGGGAGGTCGACCTCGCTCTGCGCGGCCGCGCGGGAGCGCAGCACGGCGCGCCACTGCTCCATGCGCGGCGACGCATTGCCGCTGGAGGCCTCGGGAAGGAGAGGCGACGGAAAGAAATCCGCAGGAGGTGAGGGCGGAGGCTGGGGAGGAAGGCAGGCAAACAAGGGGGGGCGAGGAGGAGGGGGGGGGGGGGGCAGGGGGGCGGGCGTTGCATAAGGGAGGCGGAGGCGAAGGGTGCGGATGGGGCGCGCAAGAGGGAAGCGGGGGAAGAGAGGGACGGGGAGAAGTGCGAGGGGGTGCGACACGTACAAGGGGATAATCGGAGGAGAGAGGCGATGGAGGGACAATGGCGATGCGGGTGAGGAGGAGAAGGAGGAGGGGGGTGGGGGGACGGGCGATGAGGACGATGGGAGGGGAGCGGAGGAGGAAGGGAAGGGTGCGGAGCACGGGCGCGATGAGGGGGCGGACGGGGAGGACGACGGGCAGTGACGAAAGGAGGGGGGAGGAGGACGTGATGAGGATGAGTAAAAAGGAAGAGGAGTCGGAGGGTGCGCTCACCATGATTATAATGGCGGGGTGGAGGAGGAGGGCGAGGAGGAAGAAGAAGATGAGGAATGAAGGAGTCGCAAGATTATGAGGAGGATGGGGCCCCGCCTGCACCAGGGCGTCCATGGCCGCAATCCCCTGCTCGGTGATGCTGAGGCTCCTGTCGCCCTTCAGGCGCGCGGCGACGTCGTCGGGCAAGGCCATGAACTGCTGGAACGTCTCGACGTGGTCCAAGTTCTCGATGAACAGCTCGACGAGAGGCTGCTGGGAAGGCGACTGGGCCGGGCTACGGGCCCGCAAAGCCTTGCACGTGGTCACGAGGTTGCCGAGCTCCTTCAACTCGACCGAGTAAGTGTTGGTGTTGGAGAGGCCGCGCAGTATGTCATCCAAGATTGTGAGCACGCCGCATGCCGCTACCTCAACCTCCACCGCATCCGCCCCAGCGAAAGAGACACCGTCGAGCGACCTAGCAGCGACATCCAGCTGCTTGAGCGCGTCCGCGCTGGCTGGGCTGGGCTTCCCACGGTTCTCGTCCGACCATGCGTTCATCATCTGGGCGAAGCTAGCTGCCTTCGAAGACAAGCTGTCCGACTCCTTCGCCTTCTCCAGCGCATCCAATATCTTGGCGAAGCAGCCGTTGGGGTCCTCGTACTCGGCGGCGAGCCCCTTTGTGGCGAAGCTGCGCACGCAGTCGGCGGCGCCAGGATCGAATTCCTCGCTCAGCACGTAGGCGGACAGCATATCCTCGAGGGGGGTCTGCGACGACGGCGACACCGCCGACGACGACGACGACGACGACGACGACGACGACGACGGCGGCGACGACGACAGCGACGACGACGGCGACGAAGACGACGACGACGAAGACGTCGACGTCGACGACGACGACGACAACGACGACGGCGACGGCGACGACGATGACGACGACGACGACGGCAGCGATGACGACGTTGGCGGCGGCTGCGACGGTGGCGGCGACGGCGGCGGCGACGGCAACGGCTACGACGACGACGACGACGACGAGGTTCAGTAGGCTCTTGGGGTAGTCCTGGGGTCCTGGGGTCTCAGGCTCTGGGGTCTTAATCTTAATGCCTGGGGGTCTTGGGGTCTGAGGCTCTGAATGTCTTGGGGTATTGGGGTCTGGGGTCTTGGGGTCTGGGGGCCTTGGGGTCTTGCGACGGCGACGGCGGCGGCGGCGGCGACGACGACGACGGGGTACAGTAGGCTCTAAGGGTAGTCAGGAGGTCCTGAGGTCTTCTCGGGGCCTCAGGCTCTGAGGGTCGTCCTGGGGTGATCAAGCCTAAGCCAAAGGACCACCTCAGGACGACCCTCAGAGCCTGAGACCCAGAGAAGACCTCAGGACCTCCAGGGTACCCTTAGAGCCTACTGCACCCCGTCGTCGTCGTCGCCGTCGCCGCCGCAAGACCCCACGACCCCCAGACCCCAAGACCCCCAGACCCCAATAGCCCAATACATTCAGAGCCTCAGACCCCAAGACCCCCAGGCATTAAGACTAAGACTCCAGAGCCTGAGACCCCAGGACCCCAGGACTACCCCAAGAGCCTACTGAACCTCGTCGTCGTCGTCGTCGTCGTCGTCGTCGTCGTCGTCGTCGCCGTTGCCGTCGCCGCCGCCGTCGCCGCCGCCGTCGCAGCCGCCGCCGACGTCGTCGTCGCTGCCGCAGTCGTCGTCGTCATCGTGGTCGCCGTCGCCGTCGTCGTCGTCGCCGTCGTCGACATCGACGCCGTCGTCGCGAGGAAGGGGAGGGGGAAGGGGGGGGGGGGGGGGGGGGGGGGGGGGGTGGACGGGGAGGAGGATGGGAGGCAGGAAGGAGGAGGAGGAGGAGGAGGAGGTTTGAATCCCACCACCCTTCCTGGCGGATAGTGGTTTAGAGCGCTTTCCTCTCCCCCCCCCCCCCCCCCCCCCCCCACCCCCACCTCCCCCTTCGGGGAAACGGTTTGCCCCTACTCCGACCCCCGCCCCCGCGACATGGAAGGGGCATCCGCGACGCGCTGGACCGCCCAAGATTGCCCAATACGGCTCCAGGCCCGCTTCCAAGAGCCCAAGATGCCCCTCCTAAGAGTGAGCGTTGAGCGCCCCCCCCCCCCCCCCCCCCTAGCGTCCCTCGTCGGCACCCTCTTGCCGAGCTCCGTCTCCAGGTCGACGTACTCACCCACGCGCACCTGCTGGTTCTTGGCATCCGTCAGCTGGACCATGCTCTTCTCGATGGTGATGACGCGTTGCGGGGCCATCGGGTCGGGCAGGCCCTGCAGCTCCTCCACCGCCGCGCTGATCGGGGCCTGGAGCTTCTTGGTCGCAGGAAGCACCCTGCGATACTCTGCCAACGCGTCGCGCCAGAAAGGGATAGCCTTGATGGATGAGAACAAGGGCGAATGAGTCTTCTCCATGTGTTCGGCTGCCAACCAGCACTCTCGCGTCAGCTTGGAGTCCTTCACGGAGATGCCGATCATCGCGCTGCACATGTTGACGAGCGTGTCGCCCCAGTCCTCGAGCTCGCCGTTCGGGTCGCACTGCATCACCTCGTCGACCTTCAGGGTCAGCTTCTTGCAGATCGCTGTGCGCACGGACACCGAATTCTCCCCATCGGCAATCAGCGGGCACATGATGCAGTCGTAGAGGTTGTCGATCATTTTGCCGCAACGCTCGGAAGTGGATCCGCCAACAGCCCTCAGTCGCGGTTGCTCCACGTTGAACTCGACGTGCTCCTCTGCATCGGCCCCCAGCTTCGATGGGGACTGGATGTCCCAGAACTTGTCGATGACCGCCTCGATCCCCTTGGTTACCGCCTTGAGCCTCCAGTCCTTCAGGGCCCTCACGACCAGCAGGAACTTCGCCTGGTGGTGCAAGGGGGGCTGCTTGGCGGAGATCTCCTTGGTCAGCGCCCTCGGCGCGCTGTGGCTCATCGTCAGGATGTCGCCTTTGGCCGCCATCTCGCACCTCTCGTTGAAGTCGAACTCCTCCTTCAGGGCAGTGGCGAGGCCCAGGCGCCCCAGCTTCATCGCCTCCTCGTAGTATAGCTCGGCAGTCCGCTGCTCGCGGCCGAAAGACACCTCGCCAGAAGTGACTGCACCCACGCGAAGCTTGTAAATCTGCGCCCCTCACTTGAACTTGAACGGGTCTGACTCGAGCAGTTCTGCGCTCGGCGACTGCAGCACAGGGCACAGGCCGCGCTGGTGGCCCTCGTCCTCGCCGACCTGGGAGACCGAGTCGCGCGGCCCGATGGCCCCGCTGGCCGACGCGGCGCCGCTGGGGCCACGAATGCCCATCGATTGAAGAGCGCCGAGGGGCACCACGCTCGGGGACGCCGCCCCCACCGCGCTCGGCGTCGAGATGCCCTTCACCGCGGGGCTCTCGGCCAAACACTTGGCCCTCCGAGAAGTCCCCTGCAAACGAGAAGCTATCTGGCGCTGCGCGCCCGATATGATGGTAGGGGCCCTCGGCTGGGCGGCATCTTCAACATCAACTTCCATCGCCGAGGGAGCTGGACGACCGCTCACGGGCACCTCTAATGCTGCCGTCGCCTTCCTGGCAGTCTTCTCGTCGCAGCGCCGCTTGATCTCCGACACGCTGAGGGCCTGCGGTGGCAATCAGCAACGCGCGCGGAGCAGGGTCGCCCCCTGTCCGCCAGAGGCGCACCACCCGAAACAAAAAAATAACAAGCACTCGTGGGGGCAAATGACCGAGGATACCTCGTATCGGAACTCCCCCATACTGCATGACTCCAAAGACCCGAAAGCTGACCCGAATGACCTCATGGGATATCTCATGTCAACTCCGGTACACCAAGGGCCCCTTGACTAATCAAATAACCCTCATCGGGAAAGAACCCCATGCTATGATAAGCAAAGAACCCCTGAGATAAGCACGCCCTGACCCCAGTGACCCAATCGGGAGCGGGGCCAATCACCGGGAGGTCGAAAGTAGCGATTTAGCGGCAACTTATGATAAATCTTGGGTCGGCCCGGGTTTTGTCGGATAAGTTGTGATTTTATCGTGACCACGCATTCCTGAACATGCGTCTTCAAAAAACACTGATCGATGAAAACGCAAACGTTACAGTCAATATACTTTGTTGCGCGGTGGTTTCTGTTACATATTCTCGCAAAAACTTTCATTCAGCTGAACAAGAACGCATGCTAACTTCGAACTTCAATGTTTTCGCATTAAGGTGCCGCTAGAATCCCTGGGCCATCCTGTGGGATGTTTTGAAATCTCGTTCTTCAAAAATGCATCCAAAACTTCCCACTCATGTTAATTACCTTCACTGAAGAAACTGTACGTATCAAAAAAGCGCATGTAAATTCCAAAACTCATTCGTTTGCATTAGTGTGCCGCTGGAATTCTCTGGCCAACGCGTGAAAAAAACATGATTATATTTTTTCCCCTCGAATGTTGTTGGAAAGTGATGTTCGTGAGCGCACGACAACATAAGCTTTCCATTCTCACGAAAACATCGTTTTCGCTAAAACCATGTTATAACGCATGTTAACTCAAAAACCAAATGTTTCGCTTAAGGGTGCTGCTCGAGTTCTTGGGCCAACATGGGAAAAACAATTAAAACTATTTCCCGAAAACTGAAGGATAGTTATATTTGCTGCAATGTTGTTGGGAACTGCTTTTCGTAAACTCGCTCCTCGCATATATGTTTCTTGGAAATTGCTCATGTTAACTTCAGAATTAAGTTTTTTCGCTTTAAGGTGCCGCTAGGGTTCCTGGGGCAACATTTGGCATAACAGAATGTGAAGCTATTGACGGAAACTTGAAAGAGAAAAAAAAACGCATGCTAACTCAAAATCCAAATTTTTCGCTTAAGGGTGCCGCTTGAGTTCTTGGGCCAACATGGGAAAAAAACTATTTCCAGAAAATCAAAGGATACATATATTTGCTGTAATTTTGTTGGGGTCAGGTTTTCATAAACTCGCTCCTCGCATATATTTTTCTTGGAAATTGCTCATGTTAACTTCAGAATTAAGTTTTTTCGCTTTAAGGTGCCGCTAGGGTTCCTGGGGCAGCATTTTGCAAAACAGAATTGAGCGATGCGAAAATCTCACGAAACTTTCGTGAGTTTTCGTCTAAATTTCTGACGAAACAATGTTTTCGTCAATTGCCATTCGAATTTCTGACGAAAAAAGGTTTTCGTTATTTTTTCGTCAATTTTCGTCTAAATGTCTGACGAAAAATTGTTGTCGTCAATTTTTCGTGAGTTTTCGTCTAAATTCCTGACGAAAAACAGTTTTCGGCAATTTTCGTCAAAATGTCGGACGAAAAATGGTTTTCGTCAGTTTTCGTGAGTTTTCGCTCAAATTCCTGACGAAAAACTGTTTTCGTTAATTTTCGTTGGAATTTCTGACGAAAAAAAGGTTTTCGTCATTTTTTCGCTAATTTTCGCCTAAATGTCTGACGAAAAATTGTTTTCGTTAATTTTTCGTGAGTTTTCGTCTAAATTCCTGACGAAAAACAGTTTTCGTCAATGTTCGTCAAAATGTCAGACGAAAAATGGTTTTCGTCAGTTTTTCGTGAATTTTCGCTCAAATTCCTGACGAAAAACTGGTTTCGTAAATTTTCGTTGGAATTTCTGACGAAAAAAAGTTTTCATCAATGTTTCGTGAGTTTTCGTCCAACGAAAAATGGTTTTCGTCAATTTTTCGTTAGTTTTCGTGAATTCCGGCGATTTTCGTCAAAATGTCTGACGAGAAATAGTTTTCGTCAGTTTTCGTGAGATTTCGCTGGAATTGCTGACGAAAAAAGGTTTTCGTTAATTTTTCGTGAGATTTCGTTGAAAATTCAGACGAAAAAAAGTGTTCGTCATGTTTTCGTCACTTTTCCTCGAAATGTCGGACGAAAAATGGTGTTCGTCAGAATTTCCGCTGTTTTCGGTAAAATTCCAGTGTTCGCCACTTTTCGTCAAAATGTGTGGCGAAACATATGTTGTTCGTCAGTTTTTTCGTTAATGTTCACCCAAATTCCTGACTTTACGGTGTCGCCAGTTGTTTTGTTAGTTTCGTATGGCCAAAAATGGTGTTCGTGAGTTTTTTCGTGATATGTGTTTTACCACATGCTGACCCAGGAACCCTAGCGGCACCCTAAAGCGAAAAAACATGATTTCGAAGTTAACATTTGCCTTTTTGCAACATTTGTTCGTGAGAGCCGCTCGCGATTTTTTTGTTGGCCAGGGATGGTCGATAGTTTGCGTGAGTTGTGTTCATGTTTTGGTTGTCCACATGGTGGCTCAAGAACCCTACGTTTTAAAATGAAAAACGATATTTACGTAAAATTGTTGATTAATTATTTCAATAAAAAAACATAGAGTGACAACACATTATCAGATTTCAGAAACCCCGCCTGCTGGCCCAGGAACCCTAACGGCACCTTAAAGCGAAACATTTTGATTTTGAAGTTAACATGCGCGATTGTGCGGCTTCTGCAAATTATCGTGAACAAGTTTGAGGGGAAAGCTTGTCTGCTGTGGGAATTCTTGACGCAGGCAAACAAACCTCGAACAAAACACGTACCCGCCAGTTGTTGTAAACTGGTTGTTTCGAGTTTGACATTAGCATGCGTTTTTAGTTGTATTTAGAACGATTTCATAAGCCCCGCATGTTGGTCCAGGAACTCTGGCGGCACTTCAACGCGAACATACTCCATTTTGAAATAACATGCTGGCCCAGGAACTCTAGCAGCACCGTAAAGCGAAACAAATGAATGTGAAGTTAATATGCAAATGTGTTTCCTCCTGCTCCTGCTCCTTCTCCTCCTCCTCCTCCTCCCCCTCCTCCTCCCCCCCCCCCTCCTCCCTCCTCCCTCCTCCCACGTCCCTCCTTGCTCCTCCCCCTTTTTCCTCCTCCCTCCTTCCTCCTTCCACCTCGATCCTCCCTCCTCCCTCCTCCCTCCTCACCCCTCTTCCTCCCTCCTCCCTCCTCCCTCTCTTCCCTCCTCCCTCTCTCCTCCCTCCTCCCCCCTCCCTTTTCCCCCCTCTACTATTCCGCCTCCCTCTCCTCCTCCTCTCCCCCTCCTCCTCCCTCCCCTCCTCCCTCCCCCTCCTCCTCCTCCTCCTACTCCTCGTCCTCCTCTCCTCCTCCATTGTGTTCCTCCTCCCTCCACCGTCTCCCCCTCCTCCTCCTCCTCCTCCTCCTTCCTCCTCCTCTCCTCCTATTCCTCCTCCTCCTGCTCCTCCCTTTCCCTCCTCCCAGGGAGCAGGAGGAGGAGGGGGAGGAGAAGGATGTGGAACAGGAGGAGGAGGAGGAGGAGGAGGAGGAGGAGGAGGAGGAGGATACTTGGGAAGAGGGGGACGATGATGCCAAGGCCAGCAGCTGACGTCGCACCGCTCAACAGTTTATGTGCGCGCTCTGGGCCCCCTCCCTTCTTCTCAGAAGGAGGAGGAGGAAGAAGAAGATGGAGAGCGGAGGGGAGGAGGAGGAGGAGGAGGAGGAGGAGGAGGAGGAGGAGGAGGAGAAGGAGGAGGAGGAGAGGAGGAGGAAGGAGTAGGAGGGGAGCGTGAGGGGGAGGAGGAGGAGGGGGAGGCAAGTGGCGGAGAGGGATGATGAGGAGAGAGTAGAGGAGAGGAGGGCGGAGGAGAGGGAGGTAGGAGGATGAGAGGAGAGGAGGAGAGGAGAAGGAAAGATGGCGAAGGAGGGAGGAGGAGGAGGAGGAGGAGAGATGGGAGGCGGAGAGGAGGAGATGATGACGGTGTTGGACATTGAGTTGATGTTGATGGTTGTTGTTGATGATGATCTGATGATGCTGATGATGATGATGATGATGATGATGATGATGACGACGATGATGACGATAATGATGATGAGGATGAGGAGGAGGAGGGAGGTGGAGAAGGAGGAGAAGGAGGAGGAGGAGGAGGAGGAGGGGAGGGAGGAAGAGGAGGAGGATGAGGGCGAGGAGGAGTAGGAGGAGGAGGATTGAGGCGGAGGTGGAAGAGGAGGTGGAGGACAGGAACGCTGCCGTCGTCGCCGTCGTCCTCTGGTTCGAAAAAACCCTATCGGGGTCTTGGATTTTTTTTTCCTCGGGTTTTTTTTTCGGTCCAGGTTGCATGGCCCCTCCGACCCTTTCGGAGATCCCCAGGAACCCCAGCCGCAAAAATTCAGAAGTTTTGTCGTGGGGCGGGGGGGACCGTCGCAGCGCGACGCTGCCGTGGCAGCTCTCGCGCGCGAGCCTTGGGGCCGTGGCCGCGCGCCGACGACGCCATGGCGGTTCCACAAGGACCCGCCGCAGCTGCCTCCTCCACCTCCTCCTCCACCTCCATGCGCCAATCGTTTCAGGGTAAGAGCAGCGGTTCCCCTCCTGGTCCCCCTCTTGGCCCCCCTCCTGGTCCCCTCCTCGTCCCCCTCCTCGTCCCCTCCCGGTTCCCTCCTGGTCCCCTCCGGGTCCCCTCCTGGTCCCCTCCTGGTCCTCTCCTGGTCCCGTTCGTGGCCCCCTCCTGGCCCCCTCTTGGTCCCCTCCTGGACTCCCTCCTGGACCCCTCCTGGCCCCGTCCTGGCCCCCTCCTGGCCCCCTACTGGTCCCCCTCCTGATCCGCCTCCCAATCGAGGATCTTCATCTGGCATTGCATTGCTTTGCGTTGAATTGCAATCGCGCTTAAGTTGCATTGGATTGTATTCGAGGTGAGCTGCATTGGTTGAGATGAATTGAATTAAGCTGCAATGATGCGTGACATGAGTCGCTCGAGCGCAAAAGGGGGTTCGTTAGATTGAGTTGCATTGGGTTGCACGACGTGTAGGGTTGACTTGCCATGTGCTGGAATTGCATTATGCAT